ATCATCACCAGTCATGTGTCTTGATCTTCTCCACACAGCAAAATAATTAGATCTTTCAGAATTCAAAGATGCATCTAGACAGTCATGTCTACATCTCAAACTTTTCACACTGTCAAACAGTTTGATATCATGATTGGTTATTTCTTTTTTGAAGGAAATCTCCACTGTGGAAAGAAAAGAATATTCCAGTCAAAATCAGTTTTAAAATTCTCAACAAATTTCTGAGTTGACTTAATACATGAAATGATACAAACTATCAGTGACTTCAAAATTAAAAAAAAAGAAACACAAGCTTTTTGTTCTTGTGAAATATTTCTTCTCTTAGCACAAGACATTAGTTTCTAAGTGATTTTGCTTCCAAGAATGCCCAGACCCAAGTGACTCCACTTCCTAGCTAGAAGAAAAATTCTAAGAGCAGTTCTTAAAGGAGTCAGAGGAAAATACTAAGCAATTCCTGTGCTTGTCAATGGTATAAGTATGTGTCTATTACTAAAATGTCCCCCCCTGAATTTAAACAAAAATATTCTTCCCCCTGCATGTTCTCCTACAAATAAATCTAAATGATAGACAACAGAAGATTGTTAGTCTTGCTTCATGGTGAAGTCATAGGTTATTCTGATATATAAAAGTGCATCATGTTTTGGAATTGAGTAAACTGGGTCCATTACTGTTGAGCTAGGTCTCAATTTTTTTAAGATTGGTTGATTGATTGATTGATTTGAGAGAGAGAGAGAGAGTAGGAGGGCAGAGGCAGAGGGGAGGGGGAGAGTCTTAAGCAGACTCTGAGCTGAGCACAGAGCTCCATGCATGGCTGGGTCTCACAACCCTGAAATCACTACCAAAAGTCAGACGCTGAGCCAACTGTGCCATGGGTGCCTTGAGATAGGTCTCGATTTTTGATCACCTCTACCCCTAACTTTAACACTCCCAAATTTTACTTCTAAATTTACATTTTTATGTTGTGAACGTGCTAATAAGTGCATCAACTCTAATGAAGTCAGTATGAGATTTGTTTAAAATCAGTTGACAGTAAAAAGAATAAAATGGATAAAGAAGACTAGGATATAGAACCAAAAAAATAAGCTATTGCAGATGGCAGGCATGAATGTATATTTATATACATATATAAGATTTCTGTGCGCGTTTTGGTCTTAATGTTTGTAGACTATTCATGTGACTTCATAAAGAGTACCTCTTTGAGAGAAAGCAAGAATATTTTAAAGGAACATATTCATTTCCCAAAAAAAGAGGGGTGAGGGTTTGCCACATGGTTCAGCAATTCATTCAAAAATCCTGTTCAAGAAAACACTTCTGTCATGTGCAAACTAGCCATATACATAAAAAGAGAACATCTCCTCTACTTTGAAAGTTATTCTAGTAACAAGATATTTCAGGTAGAAAGGAACAGACTATAAGAATTCCATGGTCTTAAGCATGTTGATAAAATGATTTATTTTAATATTATTAAAGTTTTTGTAGATTAGTTTGAAAGCAATTCCCATAACAAAATATATATTAGGAAACTAAAACCTAACACCTACTGTGGCTGCTGATACATAATAGTGACCTCATCACCACATTAATTACCTTACTAGTTCAATCCATGCTCACTGGTGATATGGGTTCCAGTTGCTGAATATATTTCTTTGCTTACAATAAATAAATAAAATAAATAAAAATTCTTGTAAGAAAACTTCCTTGGTTGTCTAGCCAACAGGCATCCACCTTTCCAACCCTCTTCCTCCTGTATAAAAGAACATCAGTTTTGCTGAGGTGTTCATTTCCCCCCAAAAGCTTGGACATCAGGAGTGTGATCCAACCTGTAGCTACAGGTGTGAGTCGTGACTGGTCTGAAAAATCAATCAGTAATGTAATTGCCCAGAAGTTGGTTTAATAAAGGGCAGTTCACTAAGCTTTTCTACTTTCATATTTTATTTAAGTGTCAAAATGATCCCATCATGATTTCTTGTTCAAAATTCCTCTGCTATTAATGTTGGAGGCAGAACTCCCACCTTTGACCCAGTTAAAATCTGCAAGCTATTACTCTCCAAGATACTACAAGAGGCAAAAACAAACAACCTCTTGCTTTCTAAGCAACTATGTTAATTCAATCAACAAGCATTTTCTGAAAGTTCACAGTTCCAGGAACATTCTGTCAGCTTGGAGATGTAATGGTTAGTAAAAATGACATCCTTATAAGAGATAATAAAAATTACAGAGGCTCAAAAAAAAAAAATTATGGAGGCTCCTGGGTGGCTTAGTCGGTTAACCGTCTGCCTTCCGCTCAGGTCATGATCCCGGGGTCCTGGGATTGAGCCCTGCATTGGGGTCCCTGCTTAACAGGGAGTCTGCTCCTCCCTCTCCCTCTGCC